AGTCTGCTGCCTCATGTTGTATTGAAAACAAATACCAAATATGGTTATTGTGTGACAGTTTTGAGACATTGACATTGATACTCCTCTTTTGAGACTGTTGGCAGAGGTGGATTCCCTCTGTTTATCTTTACAGACACTTTCCTTACACAAATAAAAATAAAGTTTGGTTCAGTTCAATTAAAGTCCCAGAAAACTCAGTCATCTTCAACACTGACCAAATTACAAGGACGGACAGATTGAATATTATTTGGCAGGAGTTCTCCTCACTGTTAATTAGAGCTAATCATTTTCAGCTGGCGAGACACCACTCAACCGTCTCACGGGATCTGGGTCGTTGAGTTCATGGCACATCTTAAATTTGTAATGCTGAAATCAACACCTCATCTCACATCTTACATGAAATTATGTTTTTACTTTGAGTCGGAATGCTCTGCCTCATGTTTATGTGTCTTTTCTGGTGTTTATTATCTACACTGGTATACATATTTATCTATTTTTTTATATCAATCAATGGTGTTGAAATATGTATATACTATTGTGATGTTTGTAGTATAGAGCATACTGAAAGTAAGATACTGAAGCTAAAATGTGAAAAGTATAAAGATAAATGTCATATAGAGCTAAAGATAAACATTTCATTGAAATATAGTTTTAATTGACCAAAAATGTGTCAACAGCAAGCCAGATGTGCAGGAAATGAAAAATGCTGACATACAGTTACATATCAGATTGTATTGCTGGGCACCAAAGAAGATCATTCGTGTGCTTGGTTCCCACCTTGTCCTGTTTGTCTGGAAATCAGGCTGCTGGTGCGATGCTGTTTTCTACTTTTCTCTCCTGTCCTGCTGTTTATGTTCTGATCTGTTCATACTTTCTGCAGATCATGATGACAAAGAGTTTTTAAAAACCAATCTGTCAGATTCCTGGTGCATCTGAGCTTCTTTTCTCATTAACTTGTGTTTTATTGCATATTTCTGGTGTTAACTTTAAAAGCCTTAGTCCTTTTTGTCTCATATTCTGCAAATAGAAAAGCATCTCCTGTGTGTCGCTGTGGTTCTTCTCAATGTTGTACACGATCTGTAACAACTGGTCGGAGCCTGAAAAAACAAATATTGGTATTAAAGGAATGTATCAACACATTATGCAAGATTTATTATCAACCCGATGCTTGAATTATTTCCCAACACAGCCCAAATTACACATGGCCCAGAGGTTGAAGATGTAATACTACATTTCATCATAGAGACAAACGTAATTATGAAAACATATGGAAATTGTTGCCAGGGAGAGCTTGTTTTGCCTCAATAACTTGGTTATCTTAGTTTTGGTCTCTCTCTCTCTCTCTCTCTGCTCTAGTTGCATTCACTACAAATGTGTTGTGCTGCTAAGGATGTAATTATGTGTTTTCAGCACAGATAATGTGCAGTACTATAAACTCATGGGGAGAAAACCTCTTCGCTGGTTGATTGAGATACATTTTTTAATGCATGCACTCTGACAACAATCATTTTTTATTCAACATTTAACATGAATGTTGTCAAGGTGACGTGGACTACAAATGCTTGATTCTCAACTCTGTCACTGTTTAACAGGCTTCCTTACCAGCTGTGGCCTACACGCCTCTCCTACACTTAAAGCACATCAGGGTTTTAGTTATTACACTTCAACATACTTTCATAAATTCTGCCTCACTCTGCCATGGCCATCGAGGTCTGATCCTGCACTGGTGTGTGCAGGCATGCGGGTCTATCATCGAATCAAAACAAAGGTTCACATTCAAATGCATCATCACGACTCCATTAAGTTAAGCACCGCCATATCATAGTTAAAAGAAGGACAAATGCAAACACATAAAACAAAACGGGCACTGCTTAAATATGAAATGTCATTAATAGCCAACTGGATATGTGACAAAGAAGTAAAAGTGAAATGAGAACATTTGGCTGCATGGATGAGACTGAAGCATTTTCTGCAGGTTTGGGTATAAACATGTGTTCCCAAAAGGCCCACACATTGCTGACTTAACAACAGCCACTGGCCATGTTGAATAATAATGGATCATTTTCAGTTCTGTTTCTCTGGTTATTATTTTAGAAACCACGAATAGATGGAAAAAAATAAAAAATAAAT